ATTATTGATTAAGTTAAAACACTGGTGATCTCCTTGGAAGTGTACAGATTATAAATACTTGCAAAACATTCTTTATGTGACCCACAAGGCCTTGGGCACCTAAGGATGAATATGGGTGGGGGTCCGGGGAGGACTCCCAGGTTTGTGTGGGCCAGGTTGGCCTCATCAAGTACCTCTTTCTGTTCAGCCTCTGCTCTGTGCACTCATCCCCTGCCCGCCAGAACGGAGCTACGGGAAATCTTACCTTATGCACCTATTTTTGAAAAAGCCAATTTGATAGTCAACCTTAAGTGAAGATGAACATTCTCCTGGTGTTGACAGAATTGGACATCTACAAAATCTCCATAACAAAACAGAGTTTTAAAATCGTCATTTGATTGTCTTCTAGACATGGCTGCAGGTGAGTTTGTGACATACCTTTTCCATCTGAGATGCACTGTCACCTCTGGCCCCAAAGAGCACCAGAGCCAGCGCGGACAAGAGACCCAAGGGAGAGAAGACGAGATTCTCAGTCGTGTGGTCGTAGCTCATCTCCTTAAAGACATCAAAGCAGAGATGCGCGTTTGCTGCACTGAGCGAGCCCATTCTTCACCCGGGTTCTGGAATACAAAGGTGACCAACGACCACAAAGATGTAGGTCAAAATGCCACTACTGAGCAGTTTATTTCAAAGTAGGAAGATATTCCTGTTTGTGAAAACTAAAATGCTCAAAATGGGGCTTCTGAAAAGCAAAAAGAACACAGATCGTGGAACCAAATGCGTTTGCAATTCCGCCACATTCTGGCTTGAGGACCGTGGGCCGATTATTTAAGCTCTCTCAATCTCCATTTTCTTTTTTGAGGAAGTGGCTGAGTAATAGCTTCTATTACTCAGGATGAATGTGAGAATTAAAGTACGTAAGTTTGTGAAGCTCCCAGAACTGCGTCCACATATAGCAGGTGGTCCAATGTGTCAGTGAATATTGTCATATTGTCATTATTGTTAATTTAGGTCAGTGGGTTATGTAATGGCAAAAAGAACAAGGTTACAGTTTTGAGCCCGGGAGAGGCATGACCTCACTGAGTCTTTCAAAAATACACAAAGGGGCTGACTGAGAGAGAGAGAGTAAGGACACATCAGCGAAAGCCCATTCCCTCCACCGGAGAGACATCTCTAAGTGCATCTCTCCCCACAGTGGGTTGGCAGTGCCATCGACGTATGTAACGAAGCAGATGATAATATGTATTTTTTAAAGAGGGGAATACATATCATTAAGCATGTGAGAGTCCTACAGAATTATTGTCTCACTTTCTTCCATGAAACCATCCTCAAATATTTATTGAGAAAAACAGAGCTCCCTGTTCTGGGGCTTGTGGGGCTGCCAGCGGCCACCTTGGCCTGATGCCTTCAAGTGGCCGCTCACAACCACACCCGGGCTCAGGAGCTGGGAGCCTCCCCAAAGGAGCCAACTCAAAGTCATAGGTGTTCCAGGAAGGGCAGTCGTACGTTCCTGCCTGTCTTCCTTTGAGCACTAAACCTTCCCTTGCCCTTGGCACCATCGAAAGGAAGAGGTAGGAGGGTAATAGGAAACCTCAGCATCTCTGCTTCTACCTGGTGGAATTTGGTCCTGGGACCCCAGGTACTGTAGAATCACATTCTGCATCTCTCTTCTCTGGGAAGGGACTATTTGATGGCCTCTTGAGATTCATGCTAGGACGAGGATGAGAGAGACGCTAGAATGCAAAATTTAAGGCAGCTCTCACTTTACTGTGTTGATCCTTCTCTTCCGTGACCCTGTCCCTGAGAACGAGTACCTCCTTCAGTATTGCTTCCCTGGGAGTCTTGCTTGTCTCATACCACTGGGACCCTGCCAGGGACACCTGGTCAGGGTTTAGGATACAGGAGGCTGCAAGTCCTTATTTTTGGTAGCTGTACTGTTATCTTATATTGCACTACAAGTGCCTTAAGGGGCTTCTATTTAGATATTAAAATGAGAGAGAAATTCTCCCTTGTGTGCTGTTGATGCAAATGGAGTATCTCAGTCTTAGGAAAGTCAAAAGTCTTAGGAAAATGCCTTGTTTGTCCTGCGTGTCCTAAAAGGGGTAGAGACTTGATACAGTAAGGTTCCAAAAAGAGCATCTGAAAAGGAGAACTCGTAGCTGCTGGTTTTAAGTGAGAATATAAGGAGAAAAGTCATAATTCTTTCTTCTGAAGGATTTAACTTATATAATGTCTTGCCAATATCCGGAGGCCCAGCAGCAACACCTCTTGGCCTAGGGGTGTGGTTCCAATAAAGCAGCCTTAAGAATTCCTACACAGAGAAGAACATGTTTAAATAATTTGGCTGGATGGATGGTTGACGTTTTATAGGGACCAGAAATGTTACCACTTGCTTGAAAAGCTATCGCCCTTCTCATCAGCATGAAAGTAAAATCTTCTAAGACACTAACATATTTCTGTTGCGTCCTTGTCATATAACTGGAAATGGAATGGGGATAGGGAGAAAATTGGGGGTCGGATGGGGTTCAAGCTTACAAGGAAGTAGAAATAGATGTACAGACCAGAACCTCTCTCTCCGAGTCTATGAGGCACTTGACCTGTTGGTTTTTTTCTTTCTCACTTTCCTTTTTGGGAAGCTTGCCTCCTGGTAACTCACATGGTCACCCTACAATCAAAAGCCATTCTTGGGCTATAGAAAAGTATCCTACTTGGATGCACGGAATCCAAGGAATACGTTTGCGCTGCTGAAGGGACAATTAGTTGAAATGGCCAATCGTAGGTCTCTATAATGGAGAGCTTTTAAATCAGAAAAACTTGAGTTCTAACATGAACTTTGCCTATTACCTACCACGCATGTGAGTAACTTATTTAACTTTTCTGAATTTATTTATAAAATAGGAATCATAGCAGATATCTGGCAAGGTTGTTGTGATCATGGAAATCCAACTTCTAAATGGAAAAAATATTCAATAAGGTTATCTTCCTTCCCTCTTCTAGGGACCGTGGATTTAACTCAAAGAGTCGCAGACTTGAGAAGAAAAGTATCAGGTCCCCAGATTAATTCTACAAATGGGGAACTGAAGTCCTCCTAGCTGGGATACATGACACACTCAAGTCCACAGAGCTGGAAAACATCAAACTCAGAATGAACATCCAGCTTTCCTGACTTACTGTCCAATCCCTCTCCCTCTATTTTATCGAAGAGAAACAAAATCTTAAAAAAAAGAGTGTCTAAATTGCTACTGCATGGCACAATTTCCCCTGAGGTGTTTGTAGGCATTTATGAACCAATTTCTCATTCGGCCTCAGTTCAACTGTCCTTGAAGTCCTTTCCCCAAGCTAAGAATCAGATTGGTGATGGGAATGGCTCTTTACAATACCGGGAACCGCGACATCAAAAAGCTCACTCAGTGTGCACGAAAAGCTAAAAGCAGAACCACTCAGCCCTGTTGGAAATGTGCAGCTCCCCACCCCCCACCCCCACACCATGGCACCGCACTACCCTTTTCCCTGGGTTACAATGAAGTCTTTTTCTCTACACTTTCTGAGACATGTCATCACCAATTACAAAAGTCATGTTAAAGAAGGTACGATTTAGGGTTTGCGTTTTTACCTTGTCTTCAGGTTGGCCAAAGTTCTGCCTGGTGAGCCCAGCGCTGTGTCTGCAACCCACAGACACTCACGGCACTTGGGAGCCACAGCTTGCTCCTCCCATCTCCTCAAAATTTCGTTGCACAAGTCACTTTTCCTTGTATTGCGAAGTGATTTAAAGTATTTATACAAAGGTGTGGAGAGCGAGCAGCTGGCGTGTACACAGTAAAACACACTGCTTTCCTGGGTCAACGAAGTGACTCAAGAGATGTAGGAAAAAAATGAATGAAACATTTAATGCAGTGGATGGTGTATAATAAACGGAGTGCTCTTTCATAATTACACAATGTGTGAAATATTTAAAAATTAAACGTAACGCGTGTGGGTATGTCACACATACCCTGGCTATAACAGCAAAGCGTCGGGGTTTAGAAGCCAGAGAGGAGACATTTTTGCCTTGGGACCTGGTGACAGGTTTTTTTTCTCTGACTCCTGAGAGGAGACATGGTGAATGAAATGCTGTTCTCTTTGGCAGAGAGGAGACTAGGGATGGAGTAACCCGTGCTGAGAAAGGATTTCAAACTCATCGCATGGCGAATGCAGGAAGGGTACCCACGCGAGCTACAGATCAGCTGTAGCTCCAACTCAGAGGCGGATGGGCTATCTCGGACTGTGAGAAATGAAGGGGCCTTCGACAGCATCTCCTCAGAGGTTTTCGGCCCCAGCTAAGAAGTACTTTTCACACTGTGATCGAGAGTTATACGTATTCAAAACTAAAACAAGAGTTTCACAAAAAATACTTCCCTGACTACTAATGATGCATTCTGATTATTTCCTTTTCTATTCTCTCCTTTTTCAGGTTTTGAACACTGGTGGTAATTCACTAAATTGTTTTCTCAATCTGCTAATGAGTCCCATCCCACAGTTGGAAAACACTGATCCAGCCCAATTGCCTCATTTTGCAGAGAAAACTAAACTTAGATAAGTTTAATATAACTAGGCACACACTTAACACAATACATAAAAAGGATTAGCATTCTCAAATTTATTGATACGGAGAAATAACACATATAAATTGTTTGTATTCAACCACAAAAAGTTTTGTCTAAATATTGATAGTAGCTGTCCTGGTTGGGTTAATTCATGTCATCTGAATTCCTTAACAACTTTTGACTTTTAAAAAACTTTTTTATTTTACCCCTACAGAATAGACTACAATGCCTTAAAAGTATTTTTCTCTAAAAATAAAGGCACGTGTTTTTGCCTTTTTCATAAAGAACCTCCCCCCAACAATTTAGTATTATCACTAAATTGTACCAGCTCTTTTACTCACATTATATACAGACACATTCATACATGGAGAGAAAGGCTTCTACTTTTAAAAACAGTGTCTAAACTACAAATATTTCCAGAGAAAGAAGAAGCTAATTAATAGAAGATAAAATTCGAAGCTATGAAAAAGGGGAAAAAAGCAGTATTTAGGTCCTTTGTATTTCCATTAAATGACCCCTGATTTGTGTAGGTAACAAAAAGACACCAAATATCATCATAACAGGGAATAAATCCAATAGTGTTTTTTTTTTAAGCTTACAGTAAATTTTACAAGATTATTTTACGCACAAGAATAAAAACTTGGCTTGCGGTCTTTACAAAACACAATTGGCAAATGCCCACCCTACCAGACATTTAGACAGTATTTGGCTTTACCCTAGCGAGGATAAAAAAGAAACGGCACACAAGCCAGTCGAAAAATGCCCCGTGGTACCGTTTGGTTCTCAGATTCTCAGAAGGGGAAGGGGACAAATGAAAGAACCTGCTCACGTATAACGGCAGTGAGAGGCATCCTGGATGGTGGACCACGTTCTCAAGGAAAGCTGGACCGCTCTCTTCCCTGAAGCAGTCCCTCCTTCGAGTTGAGGACTCTTGAGCAAAGGAAAAGGGATTTATTTATTCATCCTGATCTGGGGAGAAATTAACTTCTGGACGATTCAAAATCTCCTCTAGATTCTCAAAGA